GGCAAAAGGGGGTCCAACCCGTTACTAGCGTGGTGTACCTAATAAAGTGGCCGGTGAGTGTATTTTCCACCATTATTTGCAAAAAAATTCTTTAAAAGTCAGACAAAATGATTTTCTCAAATTTTTTTTCACATTTTGTCTCTCATAGTTGAGGTCTACCTATGATGTCAATTACAGGCCTCTCTCATCTTTTTAAGTGGGAGAACTTGCACAATTGGTGACTGCCTAAATAATTATTTTCCCCACTGTATAAGGTGTGCATCACTTCTGTGAAATTTGCATGTGCTCCTACTCTGTGAACACTGCCTTGTAGGGAACCATCTCAGCCTGCTTGTGTGAAAAACAATATTCTCCACGGTTCTGCCTCATCTTTYACTCATGCTGAGCTCATTGTTGAAGAGTGTTTGTTTGGCACATTTGCCAAAATCAAAAAGTATTCCCACAACCACTAAAATCTGATGTCACTCCATGGCTGTGTCTCAATTCATGGCCTGGGTCCTCATGAGTGGGCATTTGTAGGCTGCATACATCACAGCTCCGCACGGAGGACTGTCCCAATTCGAAGACTCCTCTCCGAGGAATGCGGCCGACAAACTCTCGAAATCTGAGGATACATCCATATATCCTTACCAGCTGAGGATATCCCAGCATTCAATTCGCGGGCAGCAAAATAAATAGAGAGATTAAGACGGTGAGTTTATATTTTTTTAATGAGTCGGCGTAGTTTGGAAATTCACCACGGACCGAAGGATTTGTTTTTAAAAGTAAGTTTAGCAACTTAGCTGATGAAACTTATGCTGAAATAAGATGTTAAATGAAAAAAATGCAACTACAAGTTACGAGAATAAAGTCATAATATTATGAGAATGAAATTGTAATATTGCGAGATTAAAGTCATATTACGTGAAAAAAGTCATGATGTAGCCTTTACATGAAAAAGCATGCAGTTATCACTGAATTAAAATGAGGAATGTTGAGCAACTTGTCAAGTTGTTCTTTAGTATTGCTTAAAAATTACTTTTTTAGCACATTTGCATCAAATTATTTGTAGCAGGACTTGGAAATTGTGYAAACGACTAAATGATAAACTGAAGCATGCATTGACAGACTTAGTCGTCACGTAGCTAATTTGGATGAAATCATTTCTAACAGTGACCCAAGTCATCACAGACTACTTTATAAACACAGACACATGGCTGTACACAACAGGTGTGGAGAAAATAAGGAGGAAACGAGGATTGTAAAATGGACATGTCATGTAAGATTATGACTTCTTCCCTCATAATAATGACTTTACTGTCATAATAATAGTAAAAAAAAATCTTG